AAATAGGTTGGGAGACAGAAGATTTTACTGGAAAAGAGAATTTGTTCAACAGGCTTCATATATACATTCCCTTGCTCCTACGGTAGTACTGAATCAAAAAAATGAAAGAAGTAATTTCAAGTTCCCTGTTAATTCCAACCCCATGGGACCCCAGCCAGATCTCTATTTTTGATGTGTACCTATAGAATAGTACAAAAAGTCTTGTTTTGCCATTGTATGTATTAGACCTGTCCTGTGCACAGACAACTTCGCAGTTTAACATTGCTCCCCAAAAGAGATGAGCCTCCTGACTCAATAAGCCTGGGCCAAAGTCAATACTGCATCTGCTTGTGCTGATTTTTACTATTTCTAAGCTAGCCCCACTCTTTCTGATCATTATTCAGTGGTTTGTCATCTTACTTATTTAAATAACATGACACTCATCGTGTGGAAGACCTGAGTATGGATTGCCATGCCAAGCAGTCTGCAGTGCACTTATACTACTCTTCTGCCACTATGCAGTACAATATCAGCCTCTTCACTGTCCTGAAAAGCAAACAATAACTATCAAAGCACCAGATTAGGCTCACTTTTATTTCCTGGAGAATACATGTTCACTGACTACAAATCTCCGCAGGAAAAGCAACACTTGCATACCCTCCAGGTTCCATAAATACTAGTTTGTTCTGTTGTTCCCCTTAATATTCATGAATAGGCTGCTTTCTTTCCAAAAGTCTGTCATCTATTTGGGGAAAAACAAATTATCCTACAATTTAAGTGACCAATCAGCAATACAAAGTGACCGCCAAAGCGAACTATGGTTTAAAAAAAAAGCTCGGAGGACTAATTGGAGTAAATTACGTAACATTTGGAAATAACAAGTGAACTTGTAAAAATCACAGAACTAGAAAAGCTCTTTTGTTACTTAATCTATTTTGAGTAGATAATTGAATTTTCCTTTATTTCCCTGAGAATTCAGCTCTTAGAGCTGTGCCAGGTCCAGACATCCTGCTGAGGTCAGCAAAGCTCCCACCTACGCTGCGGTGGGTGGGCAGGACTGTCGCAGCCTGCAGCACCGCATGCTCTGCACACAGGCATCTTCCATCGCACTCTGGACCACACTTGCACACTGACAGTAAAAAAAAAAAAGGGAGAGTGCACCTCAGAGCATGGTGTGGCATATCTGAGGAGAGGTTAGCTCTGATCTGAAGAAGAGAATGGGTCCTTTAAAGCCTGGGCTTTACTCTTTGTTGGGAGTGAAGCACACCAGCACACCTCTGTGGTCTTCCCATGGTAGCAAAAGTAAGATGCTTGCACCGTGATGACTCTCTCACTGAACCCAAAATCTCCCATAGGTGACAGTATCTTTCAATTAGCCATAGAGTTATTCTGGCTTTAACTGGTGAAGTCTTCTCTCCAGCTCTATCAAGAGACTCACAGAGCAGTACACAAAACCGTGGGTGTAAGTTGTCAGGACAGGGCAGAACAGATTTGAGGAGAAATGTTAAGTTCTTAAAATAGCCTGTGAACCTTGCTTGGAGGTAAACCTAAAAGAAAATACATCTACTGGAACATACCACTGTTCAGCACACTCATCTATCATGTGCTTTGTAGCAGCCTTTAGAGAGAGGTGGTTCATGCTCCTGGCTCTCATACACTCCACATGTAAACAGAGTAATTTCTTCCTCTCCCGAGACACCCCTTACACGCACAGATGCAGTGCGGGAGAAGCGTGTTGTTATAGTTACTGGCTATGACTTACCCCTGCCATTGTCATGGCATTTTCAGTAAATGGTGCTCAAACAGCAGTCTAGCAAAGGTTTGCAGAATAATGACTGCCTGTGTTCACTTAACAACAGGACACAAGCATCTCTGCTGCCCAATCTCTTCATCCATTTCTCCCTGTCCCTTACATCATGAATGAGACCCTGATTCTCTTGCATAAGGAACACAACAAAGGTCACTTCTTATATTTGAAAGTATTTTTACTTCTGGTCCCTGGAAAGGTCATCATACAGTGGAAAAGCAGAGCTCTTCCCCTCAGGCAGCTCTCAAGAGACAGGTATGGAGTGCCCAGGACACATCACCTTTTAGAGACTCTGTGGCTGGTGAGCAAAACTGCTTTGCAGGTCAAGTCTGTAAGGGGCCATGGTTTTCTACCTTGTTTTGGGTGTATCTTTTGCTAACTAGATACAGTCACTGTAACCCCACAAGAGGCTGGTATAATGCAATCTGTAACATTTTCGGTCAGGATTGTGGTACAATGATAAGGTTGTGGGAATGAGCAAAGATACATGCCCATAAAATGGATTATGCTGAATGATGTCACTCAGCTGGTTTTGAGATGCAAAGACAACAATTAACTGAGCTGACATGAACAGATGCAAACAGGAACAGCTCTTCATGCCTGGCAGTTAGAGAAACAACACTTTGCCATAGAGTCAAATAATAACCTCTCAGACGCAGACAGCAGGAAAATAGGAGCTAACAGGTTTTCACAGACCCCAGACTCAGATGAACGAAGGCGATGTATTGAACATTTAAGAGAGAACAATCGAAGATGCTTCTTCTGCACCTTTGCTCAGAGTGCAGCAAAGACAGACAGCCCCTAATTGGAAACAGGCTGCTACACGTGAGTCAAGGAGCTGCCTTCTCACAGGTTTGCTCAGGCAAACTGAATCTTGTGTATATTTAATGAATAGATTATACAAAACCTTATATATAAGAAGTGCTGTGACACTATCTTACAAATTTCTCAGCCAGACAGAACCGTTCCATGAAGTGTGAATTTTTGTTACTACTCAACCAAAAAAGCAGGTTTTCTATATATTTTAGAACATGTAAGTAGCTGATTAGGACAAAGCTGTGCTAACCTGATTTATTAGGTGCTTTTTGTGAAAGCAATTAGGTGTGGGATTCTCAAAGGACTTTCTGAGAAAAGGTCCAGCAAAGATAATTACTGAACGTATATCGAAACTGCTGTGGAATTAGCATCAGGAACTTGTGTTCAGAAACTCCTCCTATATTAGCTTTGTGATTTGACAAGCTAACCAACTTTGTCCCAACTTTGCTTAACTAAGCACTTCTTTCCATTTAATGTTGTATCACTATACATGAAATAAATGTTAATTACCATCACTGCAGGAACAATCAGTGAAACTGTTGAAATGGAAGTCCAGTCCTGCAGCCCTCTACCAGCAAAAATTTCCTGCAGTCTACAGAAGAGCCTGAACCACAGCCAGGGAAGTTAATCCTAGTTTGTACATAGGATCTTACATCAAGCCAGTACTAGTCTAAAACATACTGATGAAATCTGGTCTTGTAACAAACCTTGTAAATAAAGCTGAAACTGGCACTGCATCTCTTCTCCCACACACATTCTCCTTCACGTTGTAAACTTTGCAGCAGATACAAACCTAGCTACAGAAGGATAGCTGCACACTGGCATAGAGATAAAGAAAAATGAAACAGACCTACTATGAAATGTATCACTGAGCTAGAGACATTGGAGCTGAATTTCAGCTGCAATACATCAACCTTATTTCATGGATCTCTGTCTCTGTCCAGTTATGCCAGCCAGGCTGTGAATTTGAGTGGACACTAGTTTTGGTATTCAAGAGATCTTAGAGAAATCCACGTGAAACCCATCACTTGCTTTCCATGACATTTCAGGAGAAACCTGTCATTAACCTGCGATAATTACTGGCAGTTCCTCATGCTACTGAAAAAAACTTTTCTTCTATTCTACTTTCTGTCCTGTTGGCCTATAGGATGGTCAAACTTTCTAGAAGACCAAGAAAAAAATGGCTCATTCTCCATGTATGGTCCGTATTTTGCTACTTACATTTTGTCAGACTAAAACCTAGTACTAACATTTCAATTTTTAGGTCTGATAGAAGAGATTTTTCATCTCTCTAGTGCTTAAACCACACATTAGAATCACATTGCTACAGCATGCAGAATGCTGCTGTTTCTAAGTATTAAGCTGAGCACTCTTGAATATTGTCAGGGTTGATCCTTATCGTTTGCTTTGGCTACATAAAATTACTATTGAAAAACTATGTACTAAGGGGCCTATCCATTGAAAACATTTTCTTCTATGATTGACTGGTATTAACCATTTTCTTCTTTCACACACAGAGGGATGTGTTCAAGTAGACTTCAAAATGAGGCTTCATATATATGGATTATCCAAGTTTTGAATGTTCCTTTCTAAGCAGTGAACATGCAAAAATTGTCAGTGGTCAGTAATGTATATAAACTATTGAGTTATTGGCAGCAGTACTTGCAAAGGAAAAGAAGCAAAAAAGGAAAAAAAAAAGAAAAGTTAGGGACAGTGTGATATGTGACACTTAAAGTGACAGGATTCAGACTTTGTGGTTTTTCACAAAGATTCTTATGTAATTTACTGATGGCTTTGCAGCTAAGTCTGCAAATGACTTTCCTACAAGTCATAGTTGTTCATTGCTCAGATATACAGCAGCTTAGCTCATGCTGTAACATTATGTACTGCCTCAGCATTTCTGAACTAGAGCTTTCTGGAGATGGAGACCAAGATGATATGTCTGTACTATGGCTAAGCACTGAAACATAGCAGACTGTTTGCTTGCTTACAGTTATTTATAAGCTTGTGTGTTTTCAGGATTTACTTATGAAAAGCAATTCCACTTAATATCAGTACAACAGCACGGCAGTAGTTCATATTTATAGATTGTAATATAACTTCATACAGCCCCAAATTCCTTTACAAAGTGCCCGTCTATAAATCAACCTATAAATCAGCATGTTCACAAACACTGTAAGACTAAAAAGAACACTGAGTGAAATTGAAAATGCTGAGTATTTAAGTCAGGCAGAACATGTTTGCTCAGACTGGAAAGTTACCATCCAAACAGGACTGCCCACATCTACTCTGAGCATTTAAAGCAATGGACCGACATTTAGGACTGCACCTCTCTGTGCAGTACCACTTTCCTAACGCAGGATAATAGCTTAAAACTGAATAGGAACACTCGACTAACCTGTTTTTCACCACTCGGCTTCCTGTAATTCAGCAGCAGCTCCACAGCTCCCACCACCTCTTTCCGTATTGCATACAGCAAAGCATCTCCCACATACACACAGTGGCTCAAGAGCAACTCCATGATCTCCAGATTTTCATTCTCTATGGCTATTAAAAGGGCACTGCGACCAAGAGGATCCATACAGTTAATGTTGATGTTGTAGTAGATCTCTGCCTCTTGCAAGGCATGTTTCACACTGGCATAGTCCCCCTTCTCCACAGCGCTGAGGTAGGCCTTCTCTTCCGCTGAGAGCTCTGCCTCCGCTCGAACGATCTGTAATGGGATCCGATCTCTGTACGGTGAATAGTTTACCTTTTTGTAGTATAGCTGGGCCATTGTTCATAGTGACCGGGCAATCTATGGGGGAAGAAGAAGCATGCATAAGTGACAAAACAGACGAGCCCCTATCTGTTCCTCACAGGGGACAAATTTCCAAAGGTCCCTTGTGGTAAAAGCTTCTGATCCCTTTTTAAGCTGTTTTATTCTTAACACAGTGACTGTAACACCCCCTGATCAACCCCACATTAAAAGGCTACCTGAAAAAATAAAGGTTACACTACTGCTCAGAAGAGATATGCAGAATGACACACACTCAGTATATTTTTAAATCTGGTTTAAATTATGCCATTGATTTCTTTTATCTGGTCAGAAGCATGATCTTGTTGATAATGGATAATCTATCGCATGTGCAAATAGGTGGATTTCTCATCTTTGCTTTATTTCCATCTCAATGTTTTTTCACTTCCCTCCTTTCTCACTGCTGAGCCAGGTCCTCTGCATCTCTGAACTGTCAGTGATGGGAGCTGCTGATTTACACCCTCCTATTTACAGTAATAAGATTTATTTTGATTATTTTTGCTGCTGCTTCTCTGCTTCCATCTCTTAAAATAGGTTTTTATTTTTCCCTAATGTTTACTCTTTGACTAGGTCACAGTTTTATTTTTAAAGCTTGCATGTTTTTAAACGTATTTTCTCACTCTCCTCATTTATAAATAGGACCTAAAGACAGGCTGATGTAGAAAGCCACCACCCTTGCTCTCCAGAGGCAGTGGTGTTGTTTATGGTCTAGGAAAATGAGAAGTAAATCCTGCTCTGGAACAAGTGCAGCAAACTGAATGAATTACTGTTCCTTCCCACGGCTCAAAGAGCCTAGCAGGTGACTGAAGTCGTAGGAAACATGGGCTGGACAGGTATTCACACCTAAGGAAAAAAGGAGCTATGCTTATCTACCTCTGTTTGGCATCGATAAACCACACCAAATCAGGACCAGGGGACACCAGCAGCTGTAACTAATTGGATAACTTATTCCATCTCCTTGCCCAAAGCTCAATGGTTTCCTGCAGCAAATTAGTCAGAGTTTTGTTCCATTTTAGTGCCCTATCCAGGGAAAAGAGGAGGTTTTGATTAAAGAGATAATAAGAAGGAGGATCTTGTGGTTCAGGTACCAAACCTGAGTGAGGTGCCATGGATTCTGTTTTTACCATCAACTGCATGCCATAAGGCAACCGTGTTCAGCAGAGCCAATTTGCATTTTGCCTTCAGCTCCAGTGTAATGGGCCCGGTGTGGCGGGAGTGGGTGGATCTGAGCTCCAGCCCAGCTGACACTGCAAAATAGTGGGTGGTTGTAGCACACAGCAAAGTTACATCTGCGAATTTCCTGGGGAGCCAGAAATCTGTAACGACGAGTTTGCCATCTCAAAAAATGTGCTCTCTTAGTATCCTGGTTTCCTACGAGAAAAGTTTTTGTTTGTTACATTTCCAAAGGTACAGCTCTCTGCACACAGGCTTCAACCTGAAAACACACAGAAAGGCGTTAGAGGCAAAAGGACCTATGATCTGAATAGAAACCATCATAAATATATTGGCTTATTTTCGACGGAAAAGTTATGCCACTAAAGCTTTTAGAACTAAGGGACAATCTTGAGTGACTTAGGAGCTTGAAGTCTCAATAAACTACATGTATAACCAACTACTCTGATTTTCAAAAGGACTAAGGATCACAGGTCATTTTTCAAATTTTGTTTTTGAAAATGTAATCCCTGCGGGGTCCAGCCAATTCCCACTGCATTACTGACAAGACACAAAAGGATGCAGAATGGGTCTGATAACAAGTCAGGACCAAAGAGATCTTTGGAAAAGTAAAAATAAGCCCAAATGGGAAGGGAAATTTTGTACTCATGTGACAATCCGGCTCACAGGAGCAGGGAACACCAACCGGTGGGACTGGTGGCAGAGGACAGTAGCCATTGTGTGGAAGTCTCCAGGGGGGAATCTGTTGGCTCCAAAAAACCTGAGGGATTCTGGTGACAAGTGCAGCTGCTAAAGTGGAACTGGATATTTTTCACTGCTCTTCAATTTAATTGAATGTTTTGTAGATGGTGAGTAACATTTGCAATGAGTTATAACAAATGTCACCTTATGAAACATCATGCCAGAATTGGATGCCTTTCCTTTCCAACAATTTTGTAGAAAGAAAAGAAAACTTCAGCTATCTTAACTTCTCAGTGAGATCTCATCTCCCAGTACAACCCCAGTCCAAGAAAGCATTTTTTTAATACTTCAGGCACATAAGAACCTGCAATAAAACCAAACAGGAAAGACTCACAAAATGAATTATTTGCCCTGAATCCTTCTTGTGCCATCATCTGCATAGCCTAACAAACACACACTGCTGACTAGGTTTGGAAATGATAGCATGCAGTATCACAACAAATATATGTCTGCCTGGATTACACAGAAGACTTCAGCAAAATATTTAGCTGTTGAGCCGCCCCTCGGCCCAAGATCCAGCACAATTAGAGATGGACCTTCCAAACCTGATGTCCTTCTCTTCCAAAACTGGCTAACAGAGCACCAGTCAAACATGTGGATGGAACGAATGAGCCCAAGGATCACTGCTCTCTAGCTGTCGCTTCCCAATACCACCGATCTCCTGGAGGCAGCATCTCTTGGTGAAAGAAACAGACAATGCTGGTAGACCCTAGACCACTTGTTTGTCCCAGAGTGGTACTGTCTCCTGCTTAACAGGTAAAAAAAGGGGTAGGCAATTTGTAGGTGCCTAGAGAGAAGAAACAATGAAGTACTTGAAAGGTAGCAAAAATAGAAACATAGTCACATTAAAATTTTGGAATCTGTGCAGAGAGCCTGAAAACACATGTTTTCCATATGAATTCTCTTCACATAGAGGCATTTTCTGCTACTTGAGTTAGTATCTGGGGCAAGGAAAATTTTCTCCAGTCTATGCCTGATTGCAGAGGCATCAGACAATATCCAATGACTGGCTAACGCAATGGTGATACCTGCAGCACAAACAGGTGTAGAAAAACTAAGAGAACCACGTAGCAAACTACACAAGATAAGGAGAAGAGGACTTGCCACTCAGTTTGGACTCTATCATCTCTCTCCAGTTCGGTTGCCCTTCTCCCTGAACTACTAGTCCAAATCTTCAAGCCATTTCAGCCTGACACCAATTCTATGTTGCCTGGCACAGAAACGAGAGCTTTAGCCCCTGAAAAGCAGCCATACCTGGCAGAAACAGCTTGTCTGGTTTGGCAAAGAAAGGTTTCCAGCCACATTACTTCGTCTAATAACACAAAATGTTTTTTCTATCCCTGCAAAAATTTGTCTGCATCTTCTAACACTCACTTCAGACGTATCTATCCCCTGCATCAACAGGGACACTTTTTTCACTCTGAAGAGTGAAATGGCATCACAGCTGCCTCAGGTGGGTTTCTTGGGATCTCCTGCTGCCTGCTTTTGGACTGGACTCTTGGGATGGACATGTTACAATCACAAGGGAATGGTATTACTTTAGTCGAGGGCTGAAAACAATAGCTTTTGCTGAAAACTAAGAAGTGGCTTTACACATGTCACCGTCTGTATGAAACCTACAGTCAGCACCCTCCACAGACACTTCACTGCCCTCAACACCCTTGCGTGTCTCCCACCCTGAATCACGACTTGATACCAAATGATCAGTTCATCACACTGATGTATCATGCCCAGGTGAACCAGAGATCGCTTCAGCACCGAGGGGGGAGATACAACAGAAAGAACAAAAATTAGCTTTCCTTTCTAATGTTTCTTGTCGGAGAGAGAACATCATGAAAATTGCACAAAGTTTAGAGTGATGTGTGGTAGCACAGGAAAAGGCAAGGGGGGCAGTCCGAGTGATGTGTAAGAAGCAGTGAGGATAGGGCAAGGAGAAAGAAGAGCAGGGGAGCAGTGCTGAATAGTAGCCATTAGTTAGAGACATGGTTGATGAAGATAGGCAAAGGTCACTCAGCAGCACTGCCTTTTGCCACTAAAAATTTCATGAGTTTTCACTACAACTTTTTTTAGCATCTGTTAGCAGTTGAACCATTCCTCACTTCCCACTTTACACGCACAACCCACTCCCACATGCCACTGTCTTGCGGGAATCAGAACAACCTGTATGAAATGGGATGAGTGTAACTGAAAGGGTGGGAGCCAGTGCCGGTTTACATCCGTGTAGTCACTGGGCCCATTATAATATAGGACCTTCCTGGCTTTTATTTGCTTTTATCATCATTTGACTTTTTATGATGCTGATTAAGAGGTGGAAAAGCACCATTGCTCCTGATTGTTGAGCTCCCTGTGTAATGGAAGCAGCAGAGACTTGTAGGGGTATTGAATTTAGATATTGGAGCTCATTGCACCCAGCTGATGTGAGCATCTGACTACCTGAGGAACAAATCAAATACTGGATACTGATCAACAGACAAGAGCTACCTTTCCCACTTGATGGGACTCAGTATGAGCAGCCAACTCACATCACACATTAGAGCAGACAACAAAACACCCCATCTGCCAAGTTGCAAATAGAGCGGTTGGTTGTTCCCTCCTACTGGAGATTCACTCTGACACATGTTGGCAAAACTCTGCATGTGGCTTTAAATGTCACTACATCTTCTCTCTCCAATATCTGCAGAAGGGTTTATGTGCTGGAAAGCCTGCTTGTATTTTCTAGTTTTATCAGCCCAATAAAAGAACTGATTTCTTGCAACATATCTTACTTCACTGCTTCCCTCCATCTTTCTCTCCAAGGGTGTTTTTTCTTTTTAATATTTCAGGGAGAGTATTTTCCTCATTTTGCATTTCTAATCTGGACTTCAGGTCTGGAAATCATGGACCGTAACTGCTAAAACGGCCTGACTCTTTCATCATGCTCAGAGGCTGTGTGCTCAGTAATATTGATCTTTTTTAAAAAGGTTATAAACTTGAGTTATGAAATAGTCCAGAAGGGCCACTTAGGTAAATAATATTACATGTAGTTAATGGACCAATTGAATTTGTGATTGGATCCTTCTTTTAAG